GAAAGTGTCCCGGAAATGCTTTCGTAATCACCTTGCCTGTACAACATGACTTTTCGTGGAAATATTGGAAACTCTTTTGTTTCATTCAGTAACAAATGACCCACAGTGGCGCTGTGATCACATATACCCAGAATCGCGGTGACATTGAAAAAAAAAAGTCAAACGCTGGGATGCATTAACATGGCGAGTCATGCATTGTTCCTTTGAAAATTGTAAGCACGCAATCAGCTTCCGGCGTTTATTCTAGCGGTGTTTTCTTCGGGTTTAGGTTGGAAAGCAAATCGGACAGCGATTGGGAGGTAAGGGTGTACTTGAAAAGAAAGCGATAAGGGTGAGACCCAGAAACTCTCGAATATTTGTAGTTGCGGGTAATTGTGAAAAAGTTATAATATCCGCCACGTGATATAGGGGTCTGATACCGCAAGCATTTTTTAATGTCCGAGATAATCCAACCTCTTGCCCCGAGGTAGTACCCTGCATGTTGGATGAAGAGCGTCGAGGTGACTGACAGGCTTATAGATAGTGTATTTTTTTATTACGCCTGTGCGCCATGCGGTATAAGAATAAAAAAGGTGATATTGTATTTGGAGACCACAATAGCATCGAGATAGGCAAAGCAGAAGTACAGTCTATCCGTGTCTTAGTTTACAAACTTCTGTACATAATGCTTTACAGAGGTCGAAAGACACCCCTGAAACTCGAACAATTCAGAGACAGCGGTGATCACAGCTTTAGAGTCGTCTTCGGGTTCGTTCGGAATGTGACGATAAGCTTAACAGAATGGGCAGTACTGAAGATCGTCTCGCCCTGAACCAAACCGCCAAAATTATGAATATGAGTTATGGAATAGCGGTCAGGTATCGTGGTTAACTCTACCCCAAAACCCAATATAAATTTCGCTATCCGGATTATGGAATTGTGAATCTTATTGGATTTTATCTAGATTTCAAACTTTTAGAAAGTATTAATTTGTCTGCAATCTAGATTACAGGTTTCCATTAACAATCCCAGTTAAACTTCCTCGTTCATAATCCAGATAGCGAAAAGTTATATTGGGCTTGGGGTAGGGTTGGATGAATGCCCGAGACTCTCCACATGACCGCCAGCCTCTAATTTTGTCGCCACCATGTTGGGTACTGAGGGCCTGGGCTTGATGACAGCATGATGACAGTGGGCTTGGTGGCATGATGATGTTCTATCCACGCCACGACGGAGAAGACTGACGCCATCAGAGCTGCACCCGCACCCACCAACAAACAGCAGCTACGTTCACTGCCCGGAGCTATCTACTACTATGGCAAATTTCTCCCACGGCTAGCAACAATGGCACACCCCTTGTACAGACTGCTGCGTGGAGACTGGGCCTGGCCGTGGACTCGGGCCTGCTAGAACGCCTTCGACGCCATCAAGAGCGCCTTGGCGTCCACGGAAGTCCTTGCCCGCTGCGATTCGAAGATTCCGCTGCAACTAGCGTGTGACCTGTCACAGTACGGGGTAGGTGCCGTGCTGTCGCACATTTTCTCTCATGGCACGACGCGCCCGGTCGCCTACGCGTCCAGAACGTTGTCAGATTCAGAACAAAAATAGGCAGCTAGAAAACGAAGCCCTCGTGCTTATTTTCGGCCTTTAAAAAGGTTCACTGCTGCCTGTACGGCTGCACTTTCACGCTGATAACAGATCACAAATCCTTGCAGACGATCTTGGGACCAAAGACTGGTATCCCAACGATAGTAGCAGTTCAGCGTTGGGCCGTGACGTTGTCGGCATACACATATTCCTTGAAATTCAACCCTACAGGTGGAAATGTAGAGGTGGACTGTTTTTCGCGGTTACCCCTGCATGAGGTTGAGTAGGACGAAGCTGACGAAACTTTCTATTCCTTATGTCTAGAAGTGATGCCTGTTACAAGCAAGGACATCGCACGTGCAACCGCACGAGATCCACATCTCTCCAAGGTTGCATAGCTCACGAGCACGGGTTGGCCGAATCATGTGCAGGATCTGCGACTCAAACCGTTCTTCGCCCGGCGGCCCCAGCTGACTATGCATCAGGGATGCATCCTCTGCGGCATGCGTGTTGTCGTACCCCCTAAGCTGTGACCCTTCGTTCTTCAAGAGCTCCACGACGGAAATCCTGGTCTGGCGGGAATGAAAGAGCTTGCCCGAAGTTATGTTTGATGGCCTTCTATCGACTCCGACCTCGAAGCCCAAGTAAAACAATGTAAAACATGTCAAGGGCAGCGCAGTGCTCCTAATAATGCTCCGTTGCATCCGTAGTCTTGGCCGACCGCTCTGTGTAAACGTGTACACATTGATTTTGCCGGACCCTATCGTCCACGGATGTTCCTCCCTGTCGTTGATGGTCATTCTAAATGGCCAGACGTTTGTGCAATAAAATTCACGACTAGCAAGACATCATTGCATGTCTCCGTAATACATTTGCGAGATTTGGGCATCCCGACACTATTGTCTCGTATAATGGTCCACAGCTCACCTCCACTCAGTCCAAAACCTTTGTTTGAGAAGTGGGCGCACGACATGTCACCACAACCCCTTACCACCCCAGCTCTAACGGGCTAGCTGAACGCGTTGCTCAGTCACTAAAGAAAGCGCTGAGAAAAGGCGCCAGTTCTGGAAACCTGGCGGAAACGCTCCAGAAGTTCCTCCTGACTTACAGGAACACACCCCATGCTATAACAAAAGAGGCTCCAGCCAACTTTATGTTGGGTCGACGCCTGCGCTCGAAACTGGAGATTTTCAAACCGGCTGTGGAAGAGCGAGTCCAGAATAAACAATTCCTGCTGTGCTGCATGCGTCCTTCCACTCGCCGCACCATTGCGGTGGGAGATGCTGTTCTGGTTCGCAATTACAGGGGACTTCCGAGATGGGTTCCGGGCATCGTGGTGCAGCACAAAGGATCTGTCGCTTATGCCGAAAAGGTGCAGACGTCACGTGGCCCTGCAGTATGATGACCAACGTTATTAGATTACCTCAGTTGTGGAACTCTCGCGGAGGAGGGTACCCCCCTCACTCACCCCAATCCGCCAAGCGTCGATCGAAGTGCCATCTACATTGTATTTTCATAACTATTCGTTTCCAAGAGCCCGGCTGAAGCGCCAAATGGCGATCACAACGCCGCCATTTATTCCGCAGCGGTCACTCAAGGAACTGCACGTAACACCTATTTTGGCTTCAATCGACCATTTCGGAGCCGAAAGAGATAGAGGTCACAGGGATGCCACCCTCGTGTCCCCAGCGGGCGCTCCGCGAAATTGCCCCGAAGTTAAGATGAGCCTAGGTCGGGACGTGCTACCTGAAATGGCCGCTGAGTCATGGTTGTATGAAAACAATATTAATTGTACTGCAAAACCTTGCAATCTAAAGATTTTAGAAAACATCACGCGCCCCCTATTTTGTACTAAACTCCAATAAAAGTTCCTACAAAAAGAGTTTTTTTCCGTTGGTTTTTACGTTTCTAGTAACGTTCGAAACGTACGTCTCCTGATTAGTTACCAAAGCAGCCGTCTAGCGGTGAGTCGAGCGACGCTTGGCGAGTCGTGGTGAGTGAGGGGGGGGGGGGGGGGTACTGTTTGTGCATGCGGTGCCTATGAGCAGTTCCGTAACTGAGCTAATCTAATAACGTTGAGTATGACATCGACACCAAGATCAACTGCTGTGCATTACCTCCCGACGTCCACCAGAAAAGACATGCAGAGGGCCCCTACTGGGAGTACTCTTCTACGCAGACTCCCACCAGTCCCGCTCAAGCAAGGAGTAGTCCCCGAACAACTCCTATTCTTCGAGGCTCCGCCTCCAGTCAGTCCAGGCAGCCTACAAGCAGCAGCAGCCACTGCTGCGCCAGCGCCTGCCCCCAGATACCCTACAAGAACCCGAAGACTACGGGACCGTTATTTCCCATTCTAGTATTGTGTAACTGACGTTTAAAAAGGGAGGAGATGTTGTATAAAGAGATATTGGCAAGCACCGCCGGTTCACGATAACGCTACCTGTAAAGGCTGGTTGTGACGTAATACAGCCAGCATCAAAAAAAGAAAAAGAAAAAAAAAACGTGCGCGCCTGTTCCTTGGTTTATTCTCGCTCTGTTCTGCGATATAGCAATAAATATTTTTTGCTACCATGTCTCGCCCACCTACAAAGACTACAAAAACAGGCCACCGAGTTTCTTTGCTCTGCAGATCGTCCAGTCGTCGGTACTTGCTGTGACCAGTGGCAGTGCAGCGATCCTTGCTGTTGATTTGCGGCGAGATTCGCGCTGACGCCGCAGAATCCTCGTGCCCCGTCACTGACTTTTCACCATGTGCTGATCACTGTGACCACGTGCCTTCGCCCGATCATCTGATTGGAACCTTCGAGTCAACACTGTCGACACCAACTTCCGGCACCGATACTTCAAGACCACCGCTGTGGGCGTTTGTCTTCAGTGGGCTTGGTGGCAGCATGATAAACAGGCCGATCAGTTTCTTTTTGTTCGCTCTGCAGGTAGGGTTAATTAATGAACCTTATTCTCTTAGGTCCGACGATTGATTTTTGTTGCTGCTACCTTGCCTCCTGCGTATTGGTACACCTTGTTCTTCCTTGTTTGATTGGCTTAGAGTTTGTTTAACCCTGCTCATTCGTAGAAACGATGTTTAGACGAACCCCAGCCCTGATGATGATAGTCAGACTTTTCTTTAACAAATCCTGGAAGGGCAAGCTAAAATCGCTGCCGACATTACCCAAATAAAATGTGATCAGGCATCTCTGCAAAACAACTTTGATGGTCTCGAGGCATGCCTTGCTGTTATTGATTCCAGTTTATCACAACTACCGGATCTTGATAACAAGTTGCGATATCTTGAGGATAGAATTTGTTGTGGCGGCGCTATTGCCGCATTTGTAGTCTGAAGAAGAGGATGCAATAAAGGTACTGGAGCAGGGCGGTCGACTTCAGCTGCCATGGCAGCATACAACAGATTGGCCGCGAGTGATGTACCGACAAGCATGAGCCTAGCGGTGCCGCCTCCATTCCTTCCCGCTCTTGGGAGACCTGCTATCCCGTGGAAACAGTGGCGGCGGGTGTTCCAAAATTACCCGCTGGCTTCGGGGGGCGACGCCCATGGACCTGCTCGGCGGAAGGCCCTACTTCTACATTGCCTCGGTGTTGAGGGACAGAGAGTCTTCTACACACTTCCAGAGACGCGTCCTCTGGTACCACTGAAGAAACCAACTTCCGGAACGAAGACACTGACTGCGCCGGACGAGTGTGATGTCGCTCTGGCGGCCCTGGAGGCCTACTTCGCGGCAACTTTGAACATGGTCGTTGCACGACACCGGTTCAGGCAGCGAGCGCAGCTACCGGGGGAATCTGTCGAAGCATTCGTTGCCGAGCTGCGAGACCTGTCGGCGGACTGTGAGTTCGGACTTATAACGGACGAGTTCATCCGAGATCAGCTGGTGGCGAAGACTGCCAGCCAGCAGTTACGAGAGCGTCTACTACACTGGAAGGAAGTAGCCTAACCCTGGACCGGGCGTTGTCCATTGGCCGGCAGGTCAAGGAAGCGGTCCGGTACTTCAAAGAATTCGTATCGTCTTCATCGGTGCAGAAGGTGGACGTTACGCCTCCGAACGACGAGCGAGCACAACGTACACGGGGAGAACCTCCGTCCTCCACTTCGAAGAAATGTTACCACTACGGGTCGTCGGGACATCTTGCGAATTCTGCAACATGCAAAGCAAAAGGGAAAAAGTGTGCTGAATACGAAAAAGTCGGACATCCTCGTGCTGTCTGCAAGAGTACCGCCAGTCATACTAGCAAAAGGGATACTGTCAGAGAAGTTGCATGCTTGAATGGCTCTCCTGATGAGGTCGTTCTTAATATTCTTCGCGTGCACGATTAACCGAAAAGCGGTATCTATATTCCAGTTGAGGTCGAAGGAACACCCCTATCACTCTTGGTTGGCACAGGGTCAGCAGTTTTCATAATGTCGGAAGTTACGTACAAGAGAAACTTCAGTTCTGCTTACCAGCTGCAAGGTACGTCCGCAAGTTTATTCAATTTTTCGCAGCAGAAAATCGCTTTAGCAGGCTACTTTGTTGCTGCTGTCGGTTACAAGGGGCACAAGGCTTCTGTACTCTTCTACGTTGTTTCGAACGGTATGGAAATACTCGGCATCGACACAGTCGCTTGTTTATCCCTTGAGATCAATGGTAGCGCGTAGAAATGTTTCAGCACCACGCGCGTACCATCTAGACTCCCTCGAAACTTGGTAGATGACTTCGCGCACCTTTTTAACGGAACCCTCGGGACCGCGAAGGGGTTCGCTCACAAGGTGAAGAGGCGTCAAGGAGTTCAGCTCCTTTATGACAAGCTGCGAAGACTTCATTTTTCTGTCAGGGACGAAGTCTCCGAAGAGCTCTAGCGACGTCTACAGGCAGGCGTCATTGAGAGAATTGATGCGTCCGAGTGGGTCTCGCCGAACGTGGTGGTGAAAAAAAAGGGAAAGTTCGACTATATGTCGATTTGAGAGATGTAAACAAGGCCATCATAATTGACAGCTTTCCATTGCCTCACACTGAGGAACTGCTACAGCACTGGTCGGAGATAAGTACTTCTCTCGCCTGGATCTATCGAGCGCGTACCGTTAGGTCCTTTTGTGCCCGGAAAGCCGAGACCTGACGGCGTTCCTAACCCACGATGGACTTTTCAGGTTCGCCAGGGTTTGTGGCAGATTCTCTTTTGCGTATGTCTCTTGATGCGCCCGGGGAAACCCAGGAAGACGAGGTTGTCTGTGCCATTTTTTTGCGCGTATCGCAACGAGAGTTAGCCGAAGAGACTCGGCAGGACAACCAACCGTCTGCAACAAGTGATTGGTTTGACTACCGGCACCTGACCACCAAGGAAGGAGCTGCATCTTGACCTTGCACCCTTTTACCAAGTAATATAAGAACATTCCCTTAGTGGAGACCTGCTGTTTCGGGGAGATACGGTTGTTGTTCTTACCGTTCTTACTGCGAAGATTGCGGAACTAGCACACGAAACTCACCCTGGAATAACAAGAACAAAGCAGCGGGTTCGTGACACGTATTGGTAGCCTGGAATGGACAGACAGATTGAAACTGCTGCTAGGTCCTGCGGTGTTTGTCAAGTAGTTTACATGTCTGCAAAATCCGTCGTACCTCCTCCACATCCACTTGCCTTTCTGTCTGCTCCCTGGGAAAAAGTGGGAGCTGACATTATTGGGCCCTTTTCCAATGCTCCAAGCGACTGCCGGTACGCTGTAACACTAATATATTGTCACGGGTGGTGAGTCGTGACCAATAAACAAGAAATAAACAGAAATAAATAAACGTTTAATGTGGCGAACTTGTGCCAAAAATAAAGAAGGAAACAGAAGAAAGCAGAGCGTCGCGGGCGTCGAAGTCGGCGTGTCAGCAGAATCGAGCGCTGGGGCGAGACTGACTCGACAAGATCGCGGGCGGCCTCTTATCTAGAGTGAGTCAGTATCTCGAAGATTCGGCGGAGAAGGTTCGAGCGTAGCGCGCTCGGGGCGAGAATGAACAAGCACTTTCTAGAACAACAAAAGCAGGGATGAACGATAGTTATGTCCGCAGCAAGAGTGAACGAGAACTTTCTACAAGTCCGTGACCCTGCGCGCGGCATTATCCCCCCTTTAAAAAGTGCATCGTCCCAATGCAGCACAAAACGAAAAACAACAAACAAAAACAAATCCAAAACAAAAAGGCAGCAGAATCGCGAGCCGCAGTTCACAGTTCACCCGTCGCCGAGAGTGGAAAGTTCTATCGTTCGTAATACGGCTTCAGCCGGACGACGTGCACCACCTCGGGTCGCGGCTGACGTCTTGCAGATGGGCGCGTTCCGTCGGGGAGGACTTCGTAGTTAAGATCACCGAGGCGACGAAGCACTTTGTAGGGTCCAAAGTATCGTTTCAGCAATTTCTCACTGAGGCCGCGGCGACGGATGGGCGTCCATACCCACACCCTATCTCCGGGCTGGAAGTGGACGTCCCTGCGACGAAGGTTGTAGCGGCCGGCGTCGACGCGTTGCTGGTCTTGAATCAGGAGTCGGGCGAGCTGGCGAACTTCTTCGGCGCGTTGAGCAACCGCCTGGGCGTCGTCGCTCTCGTTGTCAGATGGCTCATGGGGCAGCATGGCGTCCAGCATGGTCGTTACCTTCCGACCATGTACCAGCTGGAAAGGGGTGAATCCAGTGGTCTCTTGAACCGCCGTATTGTAGGCGAACGTGACGTAGGGCAGCACCTCGTCCCACGTCTTGTGCTCTACGTCGACGTACATAGAGATCGTATCGGCGATTGTCTTGTTGAGTCGCTCCGTCAGCCCGTTGGTCTGCGGGTGGTACGCAGTTGTACGACGATGGCTGGTGTGACTGAGTCGGAGGATTTCTTGGGTCAGTTGTGCCATGAACGATGATCCGCGATCTGTAATCAGAACTTCTGGAGCGCCGTGCCGGAGGACGATGGACTCAATGAAAAACTTGGCAACTTCCACAGCAGTCCCCGAAGGAAGAGCTTTCGTTTCGGCGTACCGCGTGAGATAATCTGTGGCGACGATGATCCAGCGGTTCCCCGACGTCGAAGGCGGAAAAGGACCAAGTAGATCCATTCCGATCTGCTGGAAGGGTGCAGTTGGAGGAGAAATAGGCTGCAGGAGTCCGGCCGGCCTCGTCGAAGGTTTCTTGCGTCGCTGGCACTCGTGGCATGATCGTGTGTACAGGTGGACGGTCTTGGGGAGCTTGGGCCAGTAATACTTTTCACGAATACGGGCCAGTGTCCGGCTGTATCCAAGGTGTCCGGACGTCGGGTCGTCGTGACATGCTTGAAAGATCTCCCCTCGAAGGTCGGTCGGTATTACCAGCAGCCATGGCGAGTTGTTGTTCCCGAAGTTCTCTTTGTAGAGTACACCTTGCCGAATGGTGAAGGTCGGCACGACTCGTGAGAAAACACGGGGTACGGTACCGCCGCGCCCTTCCAGGTGCTCGATTATGGCTCGCAGCTCCGGATCGTCTCGTTGACGTCGTGCCATGTCATCGGTGTTCACTGCCCCTAGAAAGCACTCGTCATCATCGTCGTCGCTGCTGCCGGAAGGTGTTTCGACAGGGGCCCTGGACAGGCAGTCAGCGTCGCTGTGCTTGTGTCCTGACTTGTAAACCACAGTCATGTTGAACTCTTGTAGCCGGAGGCTCCATCGAGCGAGGCGTCCTGACGGGTCCTTGAGGTTCGCAAGCCAGCAGAGCGAGTGGTGGTCCGTGACTACGCGGAACGGGCTTCCGTACAAGTACGGACGAAACTTCGTGATTGCCCAGACGACCGCAAGGCATTCTTTCTCAGTCGTGGAGTAATTTCTCTCTGCCTTGGACAGTGTCCGACTTGCGTAGGCGATGACTCGTTCGGTGCCTTCTTGTACTTGAACTAGTACCGCGCCAAGTCCTGCGTTACTTGCGTCAGTGTGAATCTCGGTGTCCGCATCCTGATCGAAATGTCCAAGAACCGGAGGCGTCTGGAGTCGTCGCTTTAGCTCGTCGAATGCCTGCTGCTGTTCCTTGGCCCATTCGAACCTCTCGGCGTCCTTTGTGAGGTTTGTGAGCGGTGCGGAAATCCGTGCGAAATCCCGAACGAAGCGACGATAGTAGGCGCAAAGGCCGAGGAATCTTCGCACAGCCTTTTTGTCTGTCGGCACTGGAAATGACGCGACGGCGCGAGTCTTCTCAGGGTCTGGGCGCACGCCTTTGTTGCTAACCACGTGACCTAGAAACTTCAGTTCATCATAGGCGAACCGACACTTTGACGGCTTGAGGGTGAGTCCAGCGGTCCGTATGGCTTGAAGAACAGCTTGGAGTCGTCGCAAGTGCTCGTCGAAGTCGCTGGAAAACACCACGACGTCATCGAGGTAGACCAGACAGCTCTGCCACTTCAGTCCTGCCAGTACGGTGTCCATAACACGCTGGAAAGTTGCTGGCGCCGTACATAGTCCGAAGGGCATTACCTTGAACTCGTACAGCCCATCCGGCGTGACGAAAGCTGTCTTCTCTCGGTCCCGTTCGTCGACTTCGATCTGCCAGTAGCCGCTCTTCAGGTCCATCGATGAGAAGTATCGAGAGTGGCGCAGCCGGTCTAACGTGTCGTCGATCCGGGGGAGTGGGTAGACGTCTTTCTTCGTCACCGCGTTCAGCTGCCGGTAGTCCACGCAGAACCGAAGCGTTCCGTCCTTCTTCTTAACCAGTACGACTGGAGAGGCCCACGGACTGCTTGATGGCTGGATTATGTCGTCGTTCAGCATCTCTTGAACTTGCTCCTGGATCACCTCCCTTTCTTTAACGGAGACTCTGTACGGTGATCGATGCACAGGGCGCGCGTCGTCCTCGGTACTGATGCGGTGCTTCGCAACGGCTGTTTGGCGTACCTTCGACGACGTCGCAAAGCAGTCACGGTATTCGGCGAGGAGGTACATCAGCTGCCGTCGTTTTGGGTCCGGAAGCTTAG